AGGAGATCGTCATCGGGGTTAGACCCACCCTTATTGAAACCGAATGGTCTCTGGAAGAGATTTGTCAGGAACAGCACGATGATCCAGTTGTCTCAACTGTACTTGAGGCAAAGTTGAACACGCCGGCCGAACAAGCACCACCTAGTGATTGGGCAGATGATAGTGAACTTCGTCGTTATCGGCAAGTTTGGAAACAACTGGAAATAATTGACTGTTTTTTTTTGCATCGACGCGTATCAACAAGTGGTCGGAAAGATTGTCTCGTTCTTGTAGTTCCTCGGAAAATGCGTGCGGATCTGTTGCGGCTCTCTCACAATGATCCAAGTTCTGAGCAGATGGGTATTAATCGCTGCGTCGAACGTTTGCAGCCGTGGTATTACTGGCTTGGAATAACCAGCGATGTGCATCTGTGGGTTGCAGAGTGTAACGTGTGTAACCAAAGGCAACCGTCGTCAGCATCCAACCATTCCCCCATGGAGAACATCCGAGTATCACAACCAATGGAGTTGTGGGCAATGGAGATTTAAGGACCTCTTCCAGTAACAGCACAAGGGCACCAGTACGTTCTGGTGATGAGTGACTACTTCACTAAATGGGTCGAAGCGGGCCCAATGGCTGATCAGAAAGCAGAGACGGTAGCTCGTGCGTTTATTGACTGCGTAGTGTCTCGACATGGCGTTCCTGTGAAGCTCCTCACTGATCAAGGTAGAAACTTTGAGTCGCAGCTCATGAAAGAAGTATTCAAGCTGTTGGGCGTTCACAAGTTGCGGACATCGCCATATCATGACCAACAGACTGACGGCAGCACGGAGATGCCCAAGACCCGATTGATTGTGTTGAACTACTGTGCTGAACTCGAGATTACGCTGAAAGAGGTCCACGCGACGGTTGCTGAGAAAATCAAGAAAGCACAGACCCAGCAGCAAACGCAAAATTATGATGCACGTAACACTGCTCATCAGACAGAAATTCCGAGACCCGGAGACATTGTATGGTTACATAGCACTGTCATACCGAAAGGACGCAGTAGAAAGTTCCAGAAACCGTGGATTGGTCCGTACGTCATACTCCGTTGTCAAGGACGTTTAAACTATGTGATTCGTCCAAAATCGGGAAAAGAAAGGAGCTGGTGTGTGCATCGCAATCGACTCAAGCTGGTACAGAATCAGACGGAGGACATCAACGAGCAAGACATGTCATCTCCATTGTCAACCAAGAGGGAGAATACCCAAGAGCAGAGAGTTGCTAAATCGACGATAGTTCATAAGGAAGTTGAGGCAACGAATATGGTACCTCAAGGAGATCTACCCGTCAGCGCCGACCACCTGATCGTTACAAGGACTTTAATTTAGATGAGGTTGAGATCGAGGACGCTCTCGCTTAAGGGGAGGGTTATGTAGTATACGAAGGTGTCTAATTATTATTAGTATAAACCTACTAGTAGGCTATCACGTATCGAGCGTTCTGATTGGCTACGCTACTAGTAGGCTATTAGTGATAGCCTACTAGTAGCAAGAAGCGGCGAAGGGCGCGTGAGTCAAAGGCCGTTTTTAAGTATTAAAAGCTGCATTTAAAGGGAAAAAGCTTATCAAAATGGCCTATTTTGATTCTGGATTGCACACGAACAAAGACCCTTGGAAGCTGCTGACACATGCGGTGAAATTTTTAAGTTTTTTAACTTTTCTCCTTGTTATCAGCATGAAAGTGACAGGCGATTTTTAAAATAAATGCGCAATTAATATTTGTTAATATTCCAAGCAGAATTAAACAATACTTTGTAGCTATTTACCCCTAATTTCTCAACCTGTTTAGTGTGTGCTTGTTTTAAGTACGAGTTCATGTATTTACTGTCATTTTAAGAAGTTTTTTTCGTTTAAATGTTGAGACATTGCCCGAGTTTGTTTTCAAGCCTCGTTGTCTCTGAACGAATAGTCAACTCGGCTTCGCCTCGTTGACTATTCGCTCATAGACAACTCGGCTTCGTTGTCTAATTGTTAAATAAAGGTCGGGTACAAGAGTCAATAAAGGATGTCGGATGACAATAACAAAAGGGATTGCCAGACAATATATAGGACGAGAATATAGTAGTGCATCGAGTGTAGGGAACTAGAAAAGGATTTAATAAAGTGATTTGTTTATACTGCTTGCGTGTCGTGATATATTACAATAATAAGTTTATTTACTCTCTATTGTCTTGTATAGCTTATTTTCTTCCTTTGCCCCCCGTTTGTCTTTTACACCCGTTTTCAAAATTACGCGACCTCCCTGAAAAATACTCTTACTTCGAATGTCAGTTTTATGTCACAAAAACTGCTAAAAATAGCAAACGTAAACAAACTGTCAAAAGACATTTTAAACCGTATTTAATACCAAAACTGAACAAAAAGGAGTTAGATAACTTAGATATACAAACTAAAGCACCATACAAACCATATCACAACAGAAATATGTACCGTGAATAACTTTTAAAGTTTGAAAAATAACAATTTATCCTGGAATTTAGCTGTCAGTATAAAACACGCGCGGTAGACTATAACGGTGATGTTATGATTTTGTTGTGCTTAAATTTTGCAATAATTCTCACCAAAATATCTTGAAAATCATTGTAAGCCTGTTTATATAAAGCATACAAAGCATATACATCGACAAGGAACCCCAAAACTCATTTTCGTCCTTGGTCGCGTAATTTTGAAAACGGGTTTAACGCGCATGAACGCCAAAGCTGAGATTCTATCAAAATATGTGTGCATGAAGAATTAAAAGTACATCTCGAAATATTATAATATATATATAATCCCCTGAGTACTGTCTTATTGAAACACGAGGAAATAGACATACTATCGATACTCATGTGCACACTATATAATATATTTTCTTACTGTTATTTTTATATGCATGCGTCGTGTTATCGAGCCGTTCCACTTAAGATTACGATTTACGGCAATTCGCAATAGATTCGCTGTTGGCTGCTAGGCAAATGTTCTTTGCTTGTTCTTGAGTATATTACAAATCCTTTCCTAGTTATTCTTTGCGGTTTTCCCAATATGAAACTGAATGACTCCAGTATGTAGATCTTGCGTGGCGATGTCGCAAATGCAATCTACAAAGAATACATATACAAATACATCTCACCCATTGATTTTGCGACAAAAGCTCTTGTTATTCATTAAAATTACATGCATTTGTTAAAATACAAACACTCTGAACTTCATCGAATTGATATCCGCAACTAAATCGGTAAAACAAATTTAGCCCCCCACCCTTATGCAAAAATTTTGTTATTTCCCAAAATCTGGGAGACACGTGACCAGCCTGGACCAGGTTCTTTCC